TCGAGGGTACATATGTTTAAACCGAATGTTTTATAAAATCATATATAAATTCGTTATATCGAGGAACCTTGATGAATTGAAATATAGATATAACGAAGCAAAACCTCCAGCTCCAGAGCTTTGTTATATCGAGGTTATACTGTAGTTATATATGTAAATTGATCAGTATTCTTAAATAAATATTCATATTTAGGAAGCTTTTATTCTGAATGCTAATCAAATATACTAATCAGATCAAACCATACACAATTTAAATAAATGTCTTATGATCAAATATCTATTATAATTAACTCTTTCTAAGTCAGACTTGCCAATTAGAAATCTTGTATAAAAATAAATGTAAAAATATTAATTTTCACTACATGCTTTTGATCAAAGATCTTGCAACTCTCGTTATAGTGTGACTTGTGTGACTTGTAGAGATAAAATTTTGACTATGCCGATATCGATATGTGATTGGTGGTCTTCTATCACGTGATAAGTCAATTGACTTCCAGTTAAAACTGAATTTTATAATCGACTTGAGTCAACTTAGTCAAGTTGATTTTTTAAGAATGACTTGATTCACTACCCTTGCATGGTAAAAAATGCCAGAAATAAGAAAAATAAGAGGCATCCCAAAATCAACCTACTATCGCAAGTTTGGCACCTCTGGAATGCTTACTGGCAGTGTTGTCATGGAACACGGACATGGACAGCGGACAGTCCGGGACGGGACGTCTGCGGACATGTCCGCGGAAAATTTTTTGTCCTGGACAATTAAATTGTAATAAGAGTGGCCTTGTTAGCCAATCAGATTATTTGATAAACCCGTAAGATGGAACACCATCGCGAACATGGGACATTGTCCGGGACATGGGACATTGTCCCGGACTGTCTGTGTCCCTGTAATTTTAGCCAGACAACGTCCGTGTACAACACTGCTTACTGGTGCCACCAAAGGAATATCCAAAATTACCAGTTTCTTCGAACCTTCAACATCAACATTACCAATGTATTTGGCATTACTGTTATGATCAGCATCCCTTGCATATTCAACTTTGGCCAACCTGAATAGTAATGAGGATAAAGGTAAGAATAGTGATAATGGTGGATGTGACAATAGTGGTAAAGAAGAACACTTTGAACTTGGTAATATAATCGCTTAGCTTTAGGAAAATCTCCTAAAAAATGAAAAAATATTCAGTGCTTTTAAGTACAATGAATGACAGGCAGTCTATGAATATTTCATAAGGCTTTATGATAGTCATGGAAAGTTGAAAGCAAGCAAAGCTACAGCATGTATAGTCTATATCAACCCAAACCCATACAAATATAAAAGGGTTTGCTTTTTTAGTAATTTTTTTTTATGCCATGAGTCGTTTCCACTTTCCCATCATAGTAAATATTAAAAATATAAATAGTTAGTTGACGATGAAGATGTGGCACTAAAATGTAGGCAATAGATATGTAAAGAATCAGGGTAAATGGCATTAGTCTATCCCGGTTTAAACAATACATTAATTTTGCCATATTACCTGAGTATACAGGAGGGACAAGAAAGTCAATTAGCCTGAGAATGGCTAAAAGATAGCTGCATGTTTTAGGTTGTCAATTTATAAGATACAGGAAGGGTATGTACTTTGATAGACACGAACAAAGAAATATTGTTAAATATCAGAGTAAGTTTTTAGAGGAAATAAAGATTTTAGAGTAATGGATAATGACATATGAAGAAACAAAAATAGAACCGGTTCCAGTAATGCTTGGAGTAGAAGATCGAGAGCTGATCTTTATCATTTATAATGAGTGTATTTTTTATTCAAATGATAGAAAAAGAGGATTTGGGTGCATAATAAAATGATGCTATTGCATAAAAAAGGCAATGGAAAATCGATTATGGTAAGTGAATTTATTTTGGAGGCATGTGGCAGGTTACAATTAAGTGAGGAAGAAAAAAAAAAGTATCCTAATGTTTCTACAAAAGCACATTATTATCTGAAACCTAGTAAAAATGAAGAGAATTACTGGACAATCAAACATTTATTAAAGCAAGTCAAAGAAAAAGCCATCTCTATTTTTGAAATAAAATTTTCTGGTGCAATGACTATCTTTGCTTTTGACAACAGTACAAATCACGCGGTATTTGCAGATGACACCCTTATAGCAAAAAAAATGAACAAAGAACCCGGAGGAAAGCAAAGTGTTATGCATCTAACAACTTTCATTAATCTCAATAGCTAACAAAAAGAGCAGAAAATGGTATTCAAGAAGGACTTCTCTGATCCTAATATGAGAGGAAAGCCAAAAGGAATAAAAAGGTGTTAGAGGAAAGAGAACTTTGAAAAAAAAGGTTAAATTTAGATTGTGAAAAGTGTAAAAAAAAAGAGGATTCAGGTTAAATAGATTGCTGTTTGAGAAAAATTATAGCCTCTTAACCAGACTTTGTTATTCAAAAATCTGCTATTGTAGAATTAATTGAAGATGCCAGTCATATCTGCATTTTTTATCCAAAGTTCTATTGTGAACTTAACTTTATTGAAATATATTAGGGTGTAGCTAAAAGATATGCAAGAAATCACTGTGATTACACATGGACTGGCTTGCAAGAAACTGTTTCACAAGCGCTCAATTCAGTAGACATTGTTACAATTAGAAAGTTTGCTCGCAAATTGTAAAGATATATGGAGTTATACCATAAAGAGTTAACAGGAAAGTTTGCAGAATATGCATGTAAAAAAATTTAAGTCCTATAGGAGAGTTCCTCAAAACAAATTGGATTTATTTGTGCAAGAAAATAAAGAAATAGATTGCATTCAATAAATAAATTTAAATAAAATTAAATGTGATTAAAATAAATAAATATAATAAAATTAATATGCGAAGATAAAAAATGTAAGTAAATTTAAATAAAATTAATGTTCGATTAAAGAAAATAAATAAGTTAAAATAAATTTAAACAAAATTTAATAAACAATTAAAAATATTAAAATTTAATATGCAATTAAAAATAAATTAATACCAAAATTATAAAATCAGCTTTGTATCGTACTGTATAAAAATAAAACCAGTTCTAAACTTTATTTCATGATAAAGTTTGAAACTGGTTTTATTTTTTATATGTTAAACCCAGTTTTAATCAGGTTTAACATATGAAAAATAAACTGGCTATTTTGTAACATGATAGTCATGTAACTATGGTATCGTAAAAGTCAGTTTTTTATATGATTTGAAGCTTTTTCAAAATTCAATTCAAAATAGGACAAAGTTACATGACTTCCGCCTTTAGGTGTTCTGCACTATATTAAAAAGAATAAAGAAAAAATCAATAGATAGAACAAAAAAAAAAAAAGATTCTAAGCTCAGAACTGATTCTAGATATGAAAAAGGATAGAGAGAAAGAAATCAAATAAAATAATAAAACAAAAAAAAAAATTTTTTGCCAATACTTACCCGAACGATCTAGCTTTAATTTTAATAATTCCAAGTTCAAAGCCGATTCTACTTAAGAAGAAGAGTGGAGAAAAAAAAATCAATAAACAAAGGAGAAAAAAAAAAAAGAACACCGTCAATACTTACCCGAATATATCTCGTCACAATTTCAAAGATTCCAAGTTCTGAAAATGATTCTACTTATAAAAAGAGTAAAGATGAAAAAAAAATCAACAAATAATGAAACAAAGAAAAAGAAAAAAAATCACTACCAATATAACCTCAATTTTAACTTCTTTACGACCTTCTCATCAGAGCTTCAATTTAACTGATAGTAAAGTATAGGTATTATGCTTGAGCATCATTTATTTTCAGTGCTAGTTCATTCAGCAGGTTACATATTTCTTAGTGGATTCTGAAGCTGATTCTATTTATGAAGAGTAGAGAAAAAGAAAATTAATAAAATTGATAAAACAAAAAAAAAAATTCTCTGCCAATACTTACCCGAACAATCGTGCCTTAATTTTAATGATTCCAAGCCCAGAGCTGATTCTACTTAAGAAAAAGAGTGGAGAAAAAGAAAATCAATAAATGGAAAAAAAAAAAAATACAATTTCAAAGATTTCAAGTTCTGAAGACGATTCTACTTATGAAAAAAGTGAAGATAAAAAAAAATCAACAAATAATAAAACAAAGAAAAAGAAAAAAAAATCACTACCAATACTAACCTTAATTTTGACTTCCTCATAATCTTTATGTTTGTCTACTTGTTAGAGCTTCAATTTAACTGACGGTAAGGTATAGGTATTATGCTTAAGCACTATCTATTTTTAGCGCTAGTTTATTTAGCAGATTACACATTCTTTAGTGGATTCTGAAGCCGATTCTATTTATAAAGAAGAGTAAAGAAAAAGAAAATCAATAAAATTGATAAAACGAAAATAAAAAATCACCACCAATACTTATTCAAACATATCTAGCTTTAATTCAATTTCAAGTCCAGAGCCAATTTTACTTAAAAAGAGCAGAAAAAAAGAAAAATCAATTAATGAAGAAGAAGAAAAAAAAAAAAAGAATTACCATCAATATTTACCCAAACTTAGCTAGTCATAGTTACAACAGTTCCATGTCTGAAGCAGATTCTACAGATTCTGCTTAATGAAAAACAGTAGAAAAAGAAAATCAATAAATAATGAAACAAAAAAAAAACATTGTTCCATCAATACTTACTCAAATATATCCAGTCATAATTCTAGTGATTCCAAATTCTATCTAAAAAGAGAAAGAAAATAAATAATAAAACAAAAAAAAAAAACAATGCTAATACTTAACTGAACTCAATTTCAGTCCAGAGCCGATTCTATTTAAAGAAAAAGTGGAGGAGAAAAAAAAATAAATAAAGGAAAAAAAAAAATTCCTATATTATATCCTTTGTATAAAATGGACACTTTCAGAACTACAGTTATTTATTGTTAAAAAATAATTCCAGACTTGTCTGCTTTTTTTGTTGTATGATTAAGCTTGAAATTCGTTTTTTAAGCGAGT